CAACATTTGATAGTGTAACATCATGAAGAGAGATGTTAGAGATGTGAAATGAATGAAATCTTAGGTTGACAACCCATAAGTTTCAAACTTGAATTCTTCTAGTCCATTAAAATCTAAAACGATTATGTAGACATGTGCACAACTTCAAGACAATCTTCTCTGAATGCACTTCAGGAGAATATAAACCTACAATCTACTTTATCATTTAAAGAAAATCTAGGTATCCGATTTCGAATCGATTCTTGTGGTGATTTGAAGTTTTTTAAACGAAGATGAAGAAAATCATCATTAATTTAGATTGGGATGAAACTATTACATCAAAAGATACCACTTCATTAATTTCGATTAGTTTAAATCCAAAAAATCAAGAAAGATTTCATCAATATACAAATGAATATTTAAGATTACTTAAAGATTATGAAGAAAGATATAAAGATGAACGAAATGATTTGAATGAAGAAAAGAAGTTTTTAGAAGGATTTAAAGTGATTGAGGAACAAATAATGAGATCGATTGAAAAAGATGAATATTTTAAAAATAATTGTTTAGATCTTGTTAAAAGTTATGAACAAGTTGAATTTAATAAAGGTTGGGATGAATTCTTTTTATGGTTTGTTGATCAAACAACTCATCCAAAAAATCAAATCGAATTAGAAATCAATATCATCTCTTGTTCTTGGTCTTCAAACTTTATCAAACATTCATTAAATTATCATGATTATGATCCATTGAAATTTAAATCGATTAGATCCAATGAAATTAATCGAAAGGATGGAAAGTTTGAAGTAAGTGAAGATTGTAAAGTATCCAACTCTGGCATCAAAACTTCATTAGACAAATTAAACGAATTGAAAAATATCATATCTTTTGAAGATCTAAACCGTACCAAGACAGTTTATGTTGGTGATAGTTTAAATGATTTAATGTGTTTGTTAGAATCTGATTTAGGTATAATCATTGGAAACAATTCAAAATTGAAATCGACTTGTGATAAACTCAAAATTAATGTCATGGGATTCGATTGTTTTTGTAATTCATTGGATCAAATCAGAAATCAAAAACTGATGGTTAGAGTTGATGATTGGTTTGAAGTTTTAAAAGTTTTAAATAAATTCTTAGGAAATTGATGGATTACTCAAGTTATGATCAATTGAACTATTTATGCACCTTGATCCTTGTCTATCTGATTGCTTTCATTGAGCCTGCCCAAGCCTGCAAGTCACTTAAAGTCACACACAACCCCGAAAAAGAACAGCTGAAGCTTTTGCAGGAGGCTTCCTTGGACATTCCACAACAAGGCTTCCTATGAGAGTATCCGAAGGACAGTGGACTTGGCGAGCACAATCGTTCGCGAGCACAGGTGAGCTGTACCCGACCGCGTCGCAGTCGGTACATCCCCAACCGGACAAATCCAATTGCCGCTTTGGTCTAGACAAAACCATGACGGCTGTATCCGTCTAATCAAACCCATACTGTATCTCATAACATCCACTGCCCATCATCCACTTCTGGCTGTAGATCTTCCAAAATATCGCATCACCAAAGCCCATCCTCGATCACAAACTACCTTCGATCATCCTGATCATCGTAGGCCAGAGGTCATGCAAATACTTATCCCAGAGCGAATACAAGCAGAACACACACACACGATATGGTCATCCGTACAAATACAAACGCATTTGTGTAGACATTTGTCCTCTTTGTCGAGTGATAATCCATACTACATCCAAATGCCCAAAAAACCCAATACAACATACATCGATAACAAATATCTCCAACCACTTTTCCCACTGCAACCCTTACCTCTGCCGATCCAAGCACCACACCCAACAGGATTTATCTGCACTTCTGAAAAGTGTCAATTTCGACCTCAACACTCGACCAAGTATTGGAATCCAACACGACAAACCCCACAAAATCCCTTAATTGGTATCAGCGTGAGCATGATGTGTTTCAAATGAAGGAAATAAAAGAACTAACATGTTTGTAACAACCTTGCTTCAGTGTAATTTCGACAAAGGGTACTTCCGATCTTTTCCTAAGGAGCTATTCCGATCTAAGGTCTTTCAGTTTAACCGAGCAGTCAGTGCAAATCCACAGCAGTTGGCCATACAACTTCAAATCCTGGAAGATCACCAAATGGCGATGCAGCTTAACCAATTCGGCGGCCCTCCTGCACCTCCCACACCTCCCGCTACGCAAAAACAAAAGGCCGATAAGTCTAAATCGCCTTGCAAAGGCGTTAATGGCCAATTTGCGGCATCACACAATCGTCGCAAGAATCTCAGCTGCAAAGCTGGGGCGTGTTCCGCGGTGAGTGAAAATTCTTGACTCGATTTTTGACATAATACTGAACCTTATGCTTTTCATTAGTGCTGTGATACACTCAACCCACACCATTGTGCCGCTCACTCGGCTGCTTGCAAGAAGCGAAAGGCCAACGAAGAACAACATAATAACAACAACGGCGAGAACAGGCCAATTATTAATGAAGATGATCGATATGCACCGATAGTTGGTAGAGATATTGCTCGTCGGGTCTGTGGTTTAAGTGAGAACCAAAAATTCATTGACCTTGAATTAGAAAAGCAAGCCAAGGACCGTGTTCGAAACCAATTAGACACGCAGGCCAATGGGAATGTGACTTTATATTTGTGGACCACTACCGTAAGGCTATATCGAACTATCTGATTTAGTTGTGCTCCACTGACTATGTTTTATAATGTTCTCAGGCCAAACCTCTCATGATTCGGACTAATTTACCAACATGGCCCGATTTTGCTATTGATCAGTCGGAAGAGGTTTTGAACTTGGTCAAGGAGGTACTTGGTGAAGGATGGAAAGGATTATTAAAAGTTTGGAATGCAGACGAAAACGAATGGGTATGGTTCTTTCATTCTTCCTCCTCCTTTCAATCGAAGAGACCCCTAACATTTTTGGATGTTTCGCATCCAGGCTAACATCACTATTACATACAAGGAGCGGTATCCTGTTGATACTCGCAAATTATTCATTGTTTTTCCGGCCATTGAACCTGGTGAATGTCAAGATGTGGAATCGCTTTTAAAAACAATTGCCAAACCCTCCCTATTGGAGGTAATGGAGACTCGACATATGCTACCTTGGCTCAAAGACACCTCACCAAACGTCAACCAGCCTGCAAATTCAACCAAGCTTGTGGTAACGGCACGTAAGAGTCAATCCACCAATTCAGCTATTATCGATATATCCACATCCGACGAAGAAGAAGAAAATGACACCGACAAATACGATGTACGAAAAATCAAATCCATAACTCAACTTGACAGTACTCCAACTCCCACTCCTAGTACTTCTACCCAAGCTTCGATCAACCATATTATTCATCAAACTCCTCAAGAGCCACGAGTGAAAAAAGCCAAACGACCCAGGGCCAAAACTGACTCCGAAAGTGACGATGAATCATGGCCGACAGGTGTTAGCATGAAACTGATGCTTGATTTGTTTGTGCATACTAAAAGTCATACCGCGTCTGCTGCCTGGAAGAAGGTTTTTGGACAAAACCAAGAGTACCATTTCTCTTACTCCACTGTTACCAGATATTGCCGTTGGCTGAAAGCCATTGACTGGGACCGATTAGTCGAGTATGTTACCAAAAATGAAGGTCATAATGTACAACAAGGCAAGGATCGATTTGCGAATGAATGGCAATCTGGTGATTCTCGATTTGCAGAACGGGCTGCCGCCAAGGAGGAAAAGGCAAAAAAGGCTAAGACGGTTAGATTATGATTATTACCTATCTCGTATTTCTGTATGTAATTGTTACCAGCTGAATTATTATATCTTGTATTTCATGTAATCATTTAAATTCTTGTACTTAATTTGTTCCACTCATTGTATCAAGTCGTTTCCTCTTTTCATAGTAGTATATATGGTCGTGTTTTATATCTTGCCAACAACTTATTTCAAAATACATTGTGATTTCTTGATAACTGGATCGAATATTCAACACATAATAACAAAACGTGTTCAAAGGACACTGCGTTTTACATATATCTTCGCCTCAATACAAATATAGTAGGAGAAGGAGTATTTCAATTCAAAGGTCGACAACAATTGTTTAAAGACAACAAAACACAAGATCTCCAAGATGGATGAGTTAAGAACTCAACCATCGCGCAAAACTGTGGCATCTGAGGCATTGAGTCAATCACAAATGCTGTTGCACTCATGATCCCAACCAAAGTGGAAAAAAGCCATTTCCGCTGTGGTGCTAGTCGGCTTCTCACTGTCAGTTAGTGTGGTAAAGGAATGTATACAAGCCATCAGATAAAGAAAGGCGATTACAATGCAAGTTATAAGACTTATTAATCACCTTTTGTTACAGCATTGGACGTTGGAGATTGTACCTTCAATATCACAGTCAATTTGACATACCAAAGTTTGGCCAAGACTAGCATCGTATGCGTAATGAATAAACGCATGTATGAACTGTTGCCATATATCGGAAGCCGGCACCTGCAACATGAATTTGTACTCATATACATGGCGCTCATTGAGTGAGTTGGTTGGTTTTCCGCAGAAGTACCACCCAGGTTCGCCTTCAGGTACCGGACCAATTATCTGCATAGCGTACGCCTCTTGAACCTGATGTTAAATGGATCATAAGATTACGTTTGAAATCAACTTGACAGCGAATGATAAAAATGCGGAAGTACCTTCAGAGCTGAAGCGCTGCAAAACCAATCGCCGATTTTTTCAGCGTCATCACTCTCGCCTTCGAGATGAAATAGATATAAATCACGAAGTTCGTCTTTGAACATTTGCAACGCTCTAGCTACAAAAACATTGGCTTGAGCGAGCCTAAGAAGTTGTGAGCGGCCTGAAGTCTTACTTCGGATCCAATTTGCATGATACTTCGCAGTGAGTGAATTCTGTACGCAATGTTGTTCGATTTCTACCATCCTAGCCACCCATTGATGATCTCTTTGCATCACACTCACAGGGTCCCCAAACTTGTATATCACCAGTTGACTATTGTACCCAGTAAAGTCTTCTGGATCATATTTGACTGGCTTGACTAAATCCAAAATACTTGGCAGGGAGTAGATGAAGGCCGCCCGCTTGTTCAAAAGGTCTTCCCTCAAGAAGTTCACGTCACAATCTGCCGTCAAGTGGTTTGAGCAACGTCAGTCACTTGCATTATGAAGTTAGGTTCCTAACATACCAAGAAACACTCGACTTTGAACATGAAGAGGGGCGTGACCGGTTTGAGCGTGATCGGCATGATCGGTTCGGTTTTCTTGATCAGTGGAAACTATACACATCCATCAAATAGATTTAACAGATGCTTGAAAACCCGTTTTATGTAGAGAGTAAGTTAAAAAGACTTATGAGAGAATACTCAACTTGATAATTTTTTTAACAGGCGACTAGTGTTCATAGTATCTTTGAATGTTGGGCCGGGAGTGGGTGTACGCACAGAGGTTTGTGACTCATTATTAGTGGAAGATGAAACAGTGTCGGTGAGATGAATGGTGTTCTGATTTGCGTTGTCGTCGCTCCCAAAGAAGTTCCCACCATCAGCACGAGCTAGGGCATCTTCTGCTCCTTCTATGGTCTCCGATACATGGGTAACGTCAGTGAGTGGTCCTCCTATTACTTCGCTAGTGGGTGGAGTAGAAGGTTGATTCTTTTTCGATGAACGAGTGCGGGTGGGCATATTGGTGTAACCTGATCTATAGCCACAAACTAATGCAACATGCGATTGGAAAACCTGCGATCAGTGATCAAAAGCGTGATGTAGAATACGAGTTGAAAAATTGGACGGATAGGATCATACAATGTATAAAGGGGATTAGAATCAAGCGTATGGAATTCAGATATCACCTAATACTCATGTCTATGTATGTTGTATGGCTAGCGCTGTACCTCCAATATCCAGTCAAGGCCTCAATCACTCGGGTGGGTGTGACGATGATCGTGTAACTGAGGGTATTGAACACGGATTCACCGTACTGGAGATTAACCGAATGATATTGAGTAAACAAATTAGCTGGTGCATCAATCACTCAACATAATTAGAACAACCATTGAGCGATCAACACACAAATGACTTACAAGTGTTGAACACATTGAATGGTGTGAA